ACGGACCATTTTAGTGAGCATTTTCAGTAGTAGACCAGAAGATTAATTTTAGGATGCTTCTTTTTGAGCCAAACATTTAAGAAGCATATATTATATTCCAGTAAGTATGAGACTCTAGCACTAGGTCATTCTGATGCAAGGGCTTTTTATGATTTATTTGTTGTTTATATGAAAGCTAGACCAAAAAACTGGATAGATAGTTTTTCAAAAAGCGGCTATTAATAACAGATGCCTCTGCAATGCACTAATGGCTTTATCCCAGTTTTTTAATGATTGGTTAAGTGAAGATGAATACCACTGGGTTCTAGAGTTGAGATGTGGCTATGATGTGATGTGAATTAGATCGAGCCTCTATGATGACCATCTGGGCCTAGATGGTCCAGACTTCTAGACTTTCCACTGACGATTAGTTGCTGCAGGGAACTGCTGTAAAATCGCAAAGATGTGACGACGTAATCGCTTTTCAAAGTAAAGCCTAAAAGCTACTTATGCCAACTAATTTGTGGCATATAAACTCCGGCTTCTGATTTGTGCCTACATGTGATATGATACAGAATCCTGAGCCGTAGTTAGGTAGATCGAAGTATAGATACAAGTGCGTGTTGCAAGACCGTAATGATGGTGCGTGATTCACGCATTGTCTGTGCATGAGAAGAAAGCTTGTTGGGAAATGCGGGCCTCGTGAGATCGTACATTCGGTATCTGCGCCACTTGATCATATCTATGCGGTCAGGAGAGAGGAAAGGGAGATACATTTCAGATGTAGGGCGTAGGTCTGGTACCACATAAAAGGTGCCAACCGACATGGTAAGTATATTGGGTAAAGTCAGTACAGCCTCAATCCCCTTTGAGAAGGCAGAGAGGGTTGGAGGAGTCAGCATTGTTCGGATGCTCTAGCCATCCTGAAACATGGTTTTATAAAATTATATTAAGTACAATCGACTTCATTGCATCCTACCATTGCCTTCAACATTGCCCAAAGCTTGCAGCTTTCTCTGCTTTATAATTATTTTGGTTTAGTTTATATACCAGAAAGCCTCTGAAGAATACATACCTTTTTCATTTTGCTACGGAATTCGCTACCGAAAATCTCTCAGGTGAACAAGGTCGAGAGGCAAGCAACCTTTGACCCCAGAAATATTTAGACGAGTTGAGCATTAGAATGAGGCACGTTTTAAAATTTGAATCAAATTAAACAAATTTTTAGGTCTAAAATGTAGACTCTCCTGACTGGCTTTAATTATAGTATCTTACCCAAAATCGGGGCGTAAAATAAAAATAATAATCAGCAAGCCTAGGAGACTTAAGGCAACTCTATTTAATTTCTTGTTTCCGCTCTCTGTTCTACAACTTCAAACCTCTGAATCCTACAGTTTTGAAGTGTTTTTATGCCCAGAAAAAGCGGAAACCGCCGCTTTTTGAAATAATTGACCTACGAATGTTTTCATCACATTTTCACTCGAAACGAAAGTTAATTCAATATTGATATGCCACAAGATAGCTTGAAAACTGATTACGTAGAATAAATTTACGTGAAATACAACCTCTTTCTAACGCCTGGATGAAAATGACTAAAATAATTTTCTAATAAGTTAACGATAATTTATACAATTTCATTTCACATCCTGTTCTTTCTAGATGTTGTCCTTTTGTTAAGAGGCCAGGTTTGCCGAATTCTATTAATATAGCACTTGTTCATAGGGCACCTGTTTGGTTACTTCAATACTTAGGGAAAGCATCAATAAATGTTGCCAATTAATTGGAACCAAAATAGGGATTAAAAACTTTCTTTCTCAATTACATATTTGGGCAGATTGTCTACAATTTCGAATAATGATTGAAGGTCTAACTTAGGAGAAAGTTAGAATCACTAACCGTATACATGATGGAAAGCTTCAACTATTTTTGTTAGTAAAAAGGGTTTTAAGTTAGATTGAGAACTTGTGTCGGTTTTATTCCTAACTTTCTCTCCAAACTACGGTACAGGACAAAAGTTTTAATTTCGACAGCTCATCTTATTAGGATCATGAAGCTATAGCTTTGAATTTAGGATTTATATAGACTTGGATATTTATCAAAAGATAATAA